TGGGCGCAGGTCCCACCGGGGGATGTTCTGCTTCACCTTCTCCAGAAGGAAACCCAAGGAGTGACCTCACTGCCCTCCTGGTCACCTTCTGGAACCTCCAGAACGTCACAGGGATGAAGAGCTCACGGGAAGGTTACTTCTGGTGGGACAAAGCAGCAGAGGGACGCACAAAACAATTCTTTTTTGTTACTTCCACCCCCCGGCTCCTGCTCTGGAGAGATGCTTTGATTTCATCTCCCATCCATCCAACCCCTATCACCCAGACATTAAATGCCAAAGGGCCTCCAAAGCACCAATCACCACCAAAGAAATCTTTCATCAAACCCTAAAATGCTGCAAAAATAAGCCCAGACCCCGCTCGGGTCGTGCATGAATCCATCCTCAGCAGCACAGCTCCGTGCTGGTGTTCGGGTTTTAGTTAAGCCTGGGTGAGAAGCACCCAGAAGGGATCCTCACTATGAGCAACAAGCAAATACTGATTTTTTTAGAGTTTTTTTTCCCCTCCATTAACATGTTTTGAAATGCAACTAATTTCCAGAGAGCAGAACACACGCAGGGAGTAAGAAATAATCCAGGACAAGGAGCAAAGAGTTTCAAGTATATAAAAATAACTGTAAAATTTTATTGCAAGAAGAAAAAAAAATTTACAAAAAAAATACATGCAATAGACCATGGACTTTGGTGCTGGACATCAGACCGCACAGGATCGACTCAAAATCCACAGAAAAAGGAGTTACAGATGCAAGCGCGCAGAACAAACTCCAAAAAAAGCAGCAGGACACTGCTCCCAGGGCCACCAGCCTGGCACCTACTCCTCGGGGCAGGGACTTCTCATCAGCTGCAGGGCTGCCGCAGAGGTTTCTCGGTCCTCTGCTCCTTCCCTCAGCATCAGAAAATAACTTCAAGGTAACTTCTTCCTTCCATCAGCCTTCAGCTCCCAAAAAGCTCCTGCTATTAAAAAATAGTCAGGTCTAGAAAGCCTACAACCAGCAATTCAGGAGGAGAGGTGGTTTTAATACACCTACATGGGGCATCGTTTGTGTGATTTCACAAGAAATGAAGAATACATGAGGTCTCGGCTGCAAGAGATCCCAAACAGGTTGTGAGTCATCCCTGGAGGGGTTCAAGGCCACCTGGATGAGGCTTTGGGCAACCTGGGCTAGTGGGAGGTGTCCCTGCCCATGGCAGGGGGTGGCACTGGATGGTCTCGAAGGTCCCTTCCCACCCAACCCATCCTGGGATTCTGTATCATCCTCCCCAACCCCTGACCTCTGCAATTACCACGTTCTATTGAAAGCAGAGCAGGATACAACTGACACCTGCACTGTACTGCAAGAAAAGCACAAAATTTTCTTCTGCAGACAGGACACAGCAAAGGTTACCTTTCATATGAACACTGCTCTTTTTTCCCCCCATTTTATCGTTGTTGTGAAATGACTGGATGTATTCAGGAAGCTCCAGGCCCACAGTGAGCTGAAGTTTAGCAAACACCTCACTTTACGCTGTGCCTGCTGCCTGAAATACCCGGCAGAGCTGAGGGGACGGGCTTTAAGAGGAATATCACACAGCATCTGATCTAGCAGAGAGTACATCTTCCAAATCCCTAGTTTTGTCCCTTTTCAGGCCCAGAAGAGAGGCAGGTACGGTGCAGCGAGCCCAGCGCTCTGCGGAGCATCCTGCAGGTACCCAGATCTGGGGCTGCACCGAGCTGCTGCACCTCTGCTGCGGCCAAACCGCAAGCTCCCGTCCCGGCACGGGCTGTCCGGAACACAAACACCCTCCTCGCTAACCAGCTTCCTCATTTCCTAATGCCAGAGCCGAGTCCGGGCAGAATTTCTGGAAAGAGCAGGGCAGGGGGATAGAGATGAGAGCTCATTTATCTGCTGTGCCCTAAGATATTTCCACCTCCACATCCCCAGACCTTCCGGGGTTCCGGGCTGCAGCAGCCCCGTCTGCAGGCTGTACGCAGGAGGGTGTGCACAGCAAAACTGGAGAAGAGTCCAGCATGCACGTGGGAAGGAGAGCTCTCCCCAGAAACTACATTAATTTAGCAATTAATAAACACAAAATTAAACATTACAGACAAGATCCCAAGCGTATGATTGCGAAAAAATAATCTCTTTGGTATAGTTATACGCGGCCAAGTTTTACAACAGAGAAAAAAAAAAGCAAACAACCAAACCCGAGTATTGAATCTTCAGTTTTGCTGTTAGCAGATCCCAAGGTCGAAGGGTGATGGATGCTCCCAACCAGCGCTACGGCGAACACCAAAAGGTTACTGTGGGCTGCACAGAGTGTTACAGCCTGAGGGCACCTGAGACAGGGTTTGTGCCTTGCCTTTGTCTGTAACCATCAGCACACAGATCACAAACAGCAGCAGCAGCAGTGAAGCCTCACCGATATCGCGACAGTGTGCGACAGGCCTCCGCGCGGCTCGGAGGAGACAGGAGTGGTCCGGAGGGGTTTCACGTGCCAGGGCTATGCTGGTGTTCTCTCCCCTTCACAGGCAGCGTACAGCCTAACGAGAACGCGATTCATTTGCAGAACAGAAAACCGCTGCAGCTGAGCTCTATGAACTAGGAACTGGGCAGACACTCAGCGCTGGGAGGAATCTCGACAGAGGGAATCGAGTGCAAGGATTCCATTAAACACGTAGAAGCTACAGAAAAAGGGCTGGTTGGTGTCAGCGACTACAAATATTCCAGATACAACCACCACCAGCGGATTTGCAGATACCCTTCTGAACAAACCTGCCTTGGAACTCAAGATTGGTTTCAACTGGTTACAGACAGAAACGCAACAGTCCTTTCCTTTCCCCATCAGGTCACGCACAATGAGTTTAACGATCGGCGAAACGTGGGCTCGGTGACCCAGGAAACACCCCGACTCCGTAGGTGTCATCTGCAGGGAGTCAGGCGGAATCCAGGAGTTCCAGGAGAGCACCAACTGCACCGAAATAACCCTGAGGAGCAGAGAGGAATAGCTAGTAAAAATGCAAGTAAAGGCACACTACTGATAAAAGAACAAGAATATTACAGGTACAGTGTCATTGTCACAATTTATAAAAGATGGTGGGAAGAAATAACGAGAGGTAGGTATGTTATAGAGTAGATTCTAACTGGGATTGCGACATGGGAAAGCTGCACAGAATCATCCACACCGTCAACAGTCTTAAAGATCACACATAAGATGAGCTTGGTAGCGAATCATTTTTACATTAGTTACTGGAGCAACAAACGTGGTTTTTGTGACCTAGACTGGGCACCGCAGGAACTGTGGCTGTAGGAACACAGCCCTGGGAACCTGCTGCACACAGTGTCCCATCAACCCCACACAGCTGTTTCACAAAGGATTGGAATTTTGACACGAGACAAAATAAATTTGAAAAAATAACTTCACCTCATGTTCCAAGAAAAGTGCTTTTAACTGTCCCTTCGACCAGTAGTCCAAAGCGTACGCCAGAAGCCTCATGGAGATTGTATTGATCCGAAGAAAGTTGCCAACAAACACCACTCGGTTGATGTTCTGCGAGTATTAAGGAAAAAAACCACAACAATGGAACATGAGGGCTGAATTCCATTTTCCATTTGCAATTAAGATTACCCCACCTTAAGAAAAAAGTTACACTTCTAGTGCTTCTTTGGAAATCCATTTTCCAGTGAGACTTGATGGAAAACAACCAGCTGAGAGCAGAGGGAAAGGACTGATCAACACTAAAGCAACGAGATCCAGAGAAACTGCATCACCCCAGAGAGCTGAGTGCACTGGGAAGGGCCAGAGGCTACATCAAAAGGCAAAAAAAAGAATTACATGACCTCTGAAAGTGTTGGGCAGGATGTGCAGAACATTACAGACGCTCACAACTCCATCAGGAAGCAGCACCCGCCCGGTCACAGTAAGACAGGTGATTTTTCACTCTTCCACACTCTGCAGCTATCCACAGGTGTAGCTGTAGCCTTTCTAGCTTCAGAATTGGACTAGAACGGTTGGTTTTGGCTACGAGATCCTTATTCTGGCTAGAAACACTGATCACCAAGTGCCATCCCTCTCCTGCCAACTCCAGCCTTTGACTCACTAAGAAATCTCAATGGTTCTCTACTGTTCGTCTGAAGGAAAAAAATAAAATATTTCAAACTCCATAACCAGAACAATTCTGAAAGAAAAAGACCAATCAATGAGTGATATTTGGGATTTAAATCAGATTTCCAGCCAAACTTTTCAATCCCATTCTGAGCCAAGTGATGAACTCTGAAGCTTTCTTGTTCTCCAAGAAAATAATTTTCAGTTCCTCCTCTTACCGAGGAATCAGGATCAAGTCCTTTCTGCTCCTTCACTCACATCCTTCTGCGGATTTTCCTTCCATCCCCACGTTCATTAACACTTTCCGCTAACCATTCAGCATCCTCTTTGCATTCAGCTGCGTGCTCTAGAGCAAGGACTCAGCAGATGGATTGTGGGCGAGACTCTTTAAAATACATCTTGCCCGGTTTCAGCAGTGAATGAAGGTAAATAACGAGCACCAGGAGTCAGGACCGGGTTCAGAGCGGAGCGGAGAGCAGGTCTCTGTTCTTTCATAGCCCTGTACAATGCTGCTTGACATGAATGCAACAAGGCAGCACTGTAAAGAAGCTGAAAGCGCAAAGATGCAGGAACGGTCGTGGAAGCAGCAGGGTCTGACCAAGAAATGGAGAGCAACTCGTAAAAACCACACGGGAAAGGTAGCCAGCCTCTACGCCCTGCCAGCCCACCCTTCCTGCTCTCTCAGGTCCCAAGAGCTGTGGCTTCACACGCCTACTGCTCCTCAAACCACCGCCAAGAAGCTGGTTCACTCCTGAGCAAGCAGACGACCTGATGAGACCAACACCAACCCCGAATTCGAGACCTACCCCAACCCTACATTCAAGACCAACGCCAACCCCAAATTCAAGACCTACCCCAAGTTCCAGACCAACGCCAACCCCGAATTCAAGACCTACCCCAACCCTTCATTCCAGACCAATGCCAATCCCAAATTCAAGACCAACGCCAACCCTTCATTCGAGACCAGCGCCAACCCTTCCTTCGTTCACAGCTCTCCAGTTCACAGCACAATGATCTGGCTCAAACCACACAGCCCAGCAAGGACAAAATTTACTGAAGAATCCAAACAAGTGGATTACAACTCACTGAACATCCAAAAAGACGAGCAGAACACACCATCTACAGCAGCGTATGCAGGGAAA